CCATATTCCTGCAATGATCATGAAAGCCAAGAAATTAATCTGAGGCAGAAAGGCAGAAGCCGTGGCCTTGACTCTGATGAGGCTATTCATTGCTCTCAATCACTTGGGTTGCCTCCTAGCCCAGTATAAGGCAGAGCGAGCCCCAGGTTCCAGACTGGTGTGTCTAGCACCAGGACAGGAAGATGAGTAAAGCAAGCCAAGCTGCCTGACCGGCTCCTTGTGAGTCCACATTGGTGTTCTCCTGTGTTGTATGGGTCCCCAGTGTAAGTGTCATACTGTGTGTAATTCTATAAGCCCATGGCAGTCTCAAGGCCCTGCACACATCACTGGGTTGGGCAGTGATGACACCATGTCACATCATCAGTGACTCCTGTCCCTGGCAACACCTGTGGGGCTCTGCCCCCTTCTCCTAGGTGTGTTTGTGACAGATGGCACGGGACCCCAGAAGCCAGAGGTCATGGGTAGTGATGCATCTGTGCTAGAAACTCCTCCTCCCTCCCAACCCCAGCTTGGGAATAGTGAGTCAGCTTTGGCCTCCATCATATTTTGAAAGCCTTGAAATTGTTCCCAACGATGTGCCAGTCAGTGCCAACTGCCAGGGCAGCTGCTTCTGTCTCCAAGGAGCTGTCACTGAGCTGGACATTGCCAGTTCCACAGATACACCAGCACTTCAGGGATAAGATCTATCACTTTGAATAACAGAATGAGGTTAACAGTGGGCTAGGGGGGACAACAGGCCACAGCCGAGGCCTCCCACCAGAGACGAACACCAAAATCTCTGAGTGCATTTGGACCAGAAAAAATAAAACCATATTTAACAATAGCTAACATTTGTAGAGTGTCTTCTGCGTGCCAAGCACTTTACAAATATTTTCTCATCTGAGTCTCACAACTTGGGAGGTTAAACATTATCATGATCGCCATTTTACATATGAGGGAATGAGGCAGAGGCTAAGTGACTTGCCCAGGGCCACTTGGTTAGAAAGTATCAAAGAGATCAGTTTAGAAGTCAGGTCTTCCCAAGTCCAGGCCCAATGCTCTACCCACTGTGATACCTAGCTGCTGCATATTTGGACAGTTAGTGTTGTAATTAGCACTACCACATGAATGTGAAACTGGCCCAACCTTTAAGAGGGAGAATTTGTTGTTCATTTTTCAGTTGTGTCTGACACGTTGTGGCCCCATTTGGGGTTTTCTTGGCAGAGATACTGGAGTGGCTTGCCATTTCCTTCTCCAACTCATTTTACAGATGAGGAAACTGAGGCAAACAGGGTTAAGTGACTTGCCCAGGGTCACACATCTAATAAGTGAGAATAAATAGCTTACAGTGGCCCAGAGTTCCTTTCTGTCCCCTTCTGTATTTGTTCTGTTTTTCACTTCTTAGAGAAGCAACTAGGAGCTTGTGTGATAGGTCTGTGGTCCCCAGTGATAAAGGCTCTGTGCAGGCGTCCATCCACAGCCATACCATGGACTGCTTTGGGGACCCAGCACATAGCACCCCAAAGAAAGGATACAAGCAATGATACTTCATGTTATGTGACCACACCTCTGACTCTGCAGCAGCTCCGGCCACGGAGATGGGGGCAGGGGAGGTAGCCAGCAGCAGGCTATGAATGATGACAAAGGAACATAGGAAAACACCGACCCAACCTATTTCATTTTATTTTTATTTATTTTATTTTTAGGAAATTGGGGTTAAGTGACTTGCCCTGGGTCACACAGCTAGTAAGTGGCAAGTGTTTGGTCTGAAGCTGGATTTGAACTCAGGTCCTCCTGACTTCAGGGAGGTCTATCCACTGTGCCACCTCGCTGACCCCCCCAACCTTATTTTAAATGAAGACCCTCAATGCACAGAGCTGTACTTGCATAATGCTATACAACCATATCCCTTGATGACTTCTGAGCTGCTAGTCCACTAGACTCTTCAGATCCTTTTCCCTCTAGGGGCTCCAGCTTACCTCCAGCTGAAGATGTATAAAGCAAATTCATCATCCCCTCCCTCCTTCTGATTCCTATTCCCGGCTTCTCTAGACCTGTCCAATTGCCATTCCTCCAACAGCCCAGCTAGAGAGGCCTTTTCTTTCCAATTCTTCTCTTTTACCTCCTCAAAACATTCTTTCACAAGGTCTCCTGTGTGGGGCATTTAGCACTGGGGGAAGGGGAACATGAGCCTAAAATAGGTAGGTAGATAAGGCAGGAAAGGCAGGAAACTATGGGAGAAAGCCTGAGTGGGCCAGGGTGGGGGGAGAGGAATCCATGCTCCCCCTTCCCTTCCTCTCTCTCTCAGGTGGTAGCAGCAGCAAGGAGTGAGGCCAAAGCCAGGGCAGGTGGGAAACTGTTATGTTTTGTCATGGGGGGGTTTTGCCACATCAGCACAACTGCTATCGATAAAGAGGAGCCTGGGGAGGACTTCAGTTTCCGAGATAGCAAGAGCTCCTGATGCCGATCTACAATAGAAGGTGTAGACAAGAGAGTCAGGATTGGTAGACCATAAGCCCAAGGTCAGGGGTGTGGGGAAGCCAAGCTGGTTTTTTTGTAACATGGTTTTGCTACATCCACACAATAACTACACAACAGAGAGGAGCCTGTGGGAGGGGTAAGAAGGGGAGGCTTGGGTTTCAAAGACAAGGTTCCTGATGCCAATCTATTTCAGGAAGTATAGGCAGGGGAAGCTGCATCTTGGCACTGGTTTGGCAGAGGGCTCCACTTATAAGGGCTCTAGCCTTCTCTTCAAACAGATTTGTCTCTCTGAGTCTCACGTCAACAGTTCCAGTCCTGTGTCAGTGTAGACACAAGTATTGTCATCTGACTCTAGCAAAGGCACCCTTATTGCCTGGGGTTTACAGGTCTCAGAATCCCAAGGAACCCTGGGAGCTGTGGGGATCACTGAGCTCTTAACACAGTGAACTGATGAAATGTGTCTTCAAATTATCCTTTCTTCTGGGAAAAGGCTGCCAGGCCCGGTCTACTGGAGGTTTCCTGGCACTGCCCTGTCCCAGGTCATAAAAGGGAGTGGTGGGAGCTTTCCAAATGTCATCATCTAGTATGAAGAAGCAGGGTGATATGGAGAGGATGATGTGTTCGTCCTGAGGCAGTCCAGAGGGCCTTGGACCGAATCCTCTCTCTGTCATCCATGCGACCTTGGAAAAGTTGCTCAACATCTTTAGACTAGATGGGGCCTAAGGACCAAATCTATGGTCCTATGGGAGATCCTTGATGAGGGACACTCATTTTTGTCTCAGCCCCTCAGTCTAGGCCAGTGCTTGGCGCCTGCAGGCTTGCTGATTGTACCTATGATGGTGTTCACACCTACCAAGGAGTCATCATCAAAGTTCCAAAGGCTTAATAATTTTGTAGAGTTGTGATTCTTGGTTGGGTCATTTCCATGATGAACTCTAGAGCCTTGTAGGGGCTTCTCGAGAATTTCAGTGCTGGTGGTAACCCTGCTGGGCATTCAGAAGGGAAGGAGTAATGGAAGAAGGGCAATGGGGATGGTTGAGGCTGGGGTAGCAGGACAAAGCTGTGCTAGATAGAGCCCATGATGGGCTTTTGTCTCTGACTATAAAGGAGGAGATAGACAGAAACACATGGACAAGGGTTGTTCAAGGACTTGGCTTGAGTAGAAACAAGGTGGAAGAACCGGATAAAAATGGAAGCCAAGGCAAGTCTTGGTAGAGTAAAAGCCATGGTTGTGGCAGGACTTGGGGGCAGGGTCCCCTTTGGAATTCAGAGGCTTTAGAACATCGGGACCTTCGCAGTCACTTGTAACTCTAACTCCTCATTTTATAGAAGAGGCTCCTCTGGTTTCCCCAACTGCCTTCCCCTTGTCCTCCACCCAACTGAGGCCTCGTGAATGTACAGGTCGTCTGCCTGTTTCCCTCATCAGACTATGAGCTCTGGAGGAGACCACGGTGGGTTTTTGGTTTTCCTTTTGCCTTTCTTGGAATCCACAGCACAGCTCCCGGTACATAGATAGAGAGGCTTAATCAAGGCCTGTTGGTTTAACTTGTGTGTGTCGGCAGGTGTTTAACAAGTGCTCTGGACTAATTGACTTCAGGTCCCGAAGGCAGTCAGAAGTGGAAAGCGGACAGTAAGAGTGCAGGTGTACAGCATACAGCAAGAGCTTTGCTGTTTTCACTTACAATACATGTATTGTACACACATACATACGTGTATATACACATACATATATACACATGTGCACGTATGTATACATCTGGATTCAAATCTTGGTCCCGCTACTTACACTGGGTTTGAATTGAACCTCAGTTTCCTCATCTGTTAAACGAGCCTATGGTTACCGACACCTTGCAAGGTGGAGCTGCCATCCCATTTACAGATGAGGTAACTTGGCTCATGGAGGTGAAATGACGGTCGCACAGGTCGCTCCCTGCAGGATGCTCCTAGCGTCCCGGGCCAGGACCCCGGGCACCTACACTAGACTAGCCACACGCAGGTGCGCAGAGCATGCGCTCCCATCCTCCAGGTGGGCCTCGAGCAGCAGGCCGGCGTGCCTGACAGAAGGCGCGTCCCGTCTACCCTGCCCCCCGGCAGCCCGCCCCAGGGGCGTTTTCGGACCGTTACTCCCGGAGCTCCGACACTACTGGATGCAGGGCAGACATAGGAGCCACGTCAGCGGTCAATCACTAGACAGCAGGGGCGTGTCCCCTCCCGTCCCGCCTTCCTTTCCTTTCAAAAAAGGCCAACAGCTGCGAGTACCCGGCTCGGGCCGGCCAGGCTCTCCAGACCGGAAGCGGGAAGCGGGTCGGGATACAATGTATCGTGCGGGTGCGGCTAGCCTTCTGTGACGTAAAGCGTGCCGGCGTTCCGAAGGAGATCGGCGTTCTTCCTCGATGTTCTCGGGGACCAATAGAGCGCGGCGGGCCGGGGGTCGGCCCAAGGAAAGGGGCGGGCGTCTAGGAGGGGGGAGGGGAGGGCCTGGGCGGGGCCGAGTGAGCCTCCTGGGCCTTGTAGTTCCCGAGGCCGGCCGGGGACGGGAGAGGACTGCAAGCCTAGCCTAGCTCTTCGCAGCGCCTCGCCTCGCCTCGCTGCGCTTGGGGCGGGACCGGCGGCCCGACGCTCCCTCTGGGCAGACGCGGCAGCGGAGGCGGCGGAGGCGGCGTTCGCGGTGAAGGAGGTCCCCAAGGTCCGGCGCTCGAAGCCGGAGCAGAGCCAGGGTAGGGCCAGGGCCCGAGGAGGCCGACGGGCGGCGGCGGCGACAGCGACAGGGACAGCATGGTGTGAGGGCTCCTCCAGCCCCGATCCGAGGCGAAGCTAGCTGGGAGCCCCCTCTGCCGCGAGCCGCGGGAGGCCGGCATGGACGGCCGCCGTCGCTGCTGCCGCTGAGGGCTGCCCAGCGGGCAGGCAGGCAGGCAGTCTCCCGGCGCCGCCCGGCGCAGCGCAGCTAGGTCCTCCCCTTGTCCGCCCCCGCAGCCCGCACCCCACACCCCTCCGCACTCAGCCGCCGCGGCTCCGGACCATGGCGGGGGCCATGGAAGAGGAGGAGTACACCAAGCTGGTGATGGAGTCGCAGCCCGAGTGGCTGCGGGCTGAGGTCAAGCGGCTCTTCCATGAGCTGGGCGAGACCACCCGCGAGAAGATCCAGGCGGCCGAGTACGGGCTCGTGGTGCTGGAGGAGAAGCAGCAGCTGAAGCTGCAGTACGAGGAGCTGGAGCTGGAGTATGAGACCATCCGCAGCGAGATGGAGCAGCTGAAGGAGGTGAGTGAGCCCTGCCGGGCCCGCCGCCGGGCCAGCCCTCCCTCCCTCCCTCCCGGCCTGTCAGGCTGCACGCCGCGGGGGGGGGGTCCTGCAGCATTGCGGCGCCGCCTGCCCCTTCCCCGGGGGAAGGGAGCCTGGGCTGGGGCTGCCTAATTAGGGTCGTTGACCCTGCCCTATAGCCTCCCCACCCTCCAGTTGCCCCTTCCCGGCTATTTCTTGGCCTGGGAGGATCCTGGGAGATCATCGCCGGGGTGCGATGGGTCGGCCCGTGGCACCCTCCATACCGGCATGGCTCGTCCGGGCCGTGTCGAAGCCCTTAACGGCAAGCCCAAAACAAGCTTGCCTGTGGAGAGATTAATGAGTAGGAGGTAAAGGGAAGGGCCTTAAGCTGGCGAGGGGGAAGGGGCAAAACTCTGTTTGGCAGGACCTAGTGGAGCGAGCCCCTGGCGGAATGGAGGTTAGGTAGCACAAGGTCCCCCGCCTTCCTCAGCAGCTGTCATGGCCTTTGTGTGTGACCCTGTGTGCTGATGGTAGGTAGGTGGGTCTGGACTCGGGAGCTGGACCCTGTCTGCGAGGGGTACCTGGCTGGTATAGATCTGCCTCTGCACTGGAGCATTTTCTTGGCTGGGGTCTTGGCCCCCAGGAAGGCAGTGGCTGAATCACCTCCCGGGATATCAGGATTTGCTTGGGAAAAACTGCTCTGTGTGTGTGGGGGGAAGATCAATCGAGATCGATCCATCCCAGCAGCAGCATCTCGAATGCCAATCATACGCAGAGGCTGAAAATACAGGAAATGGGTTCTAGCGGGCACTTTAGGCCAGACTTCCCTCTTTCCAGATAGATGTGCTGGCCCAGCTGTCTAGGGAAATCTACAGAAAGTGGACAAAGGATGGTCTTTAGGAGCATTTATGTATGGAAAGCCATCACTGGAGTATCCTGCATCCTCAGTAGAGTCAGGCATAGGTCACTTAATTGGTTGTGTAATGTAATGTAATGTAATATAATGTAATGCCTGGGCTCTACCCAACAGCTTAAAGCCCCCTTGAGGAACCTGGGACAGTGAAGATGTGTGTTGGGGGGGACTAGGAGATCTGGTGCTTAGAGCAGATTCATTTGGGAAGAAGGGGAGAGGCAGAACCTCCACCCCCACCTCAGGTGTCCGTCTTCCTGGGAAGCCTCTCCCTGACTTATTCAAGCTCTGTATTGGTGCCCTCCCCCTTTTCAACGTGCTAGTGGGGGAGGAGTCAGAGGAACCTGACAGCAAAGTGACCGTAGAAGGGGGAATCTGTGCAGGGTGTCTGGGAAACCCTCCCAGAGGGAGGGTCAGTGGAGGGAAACCCCAGCACTACTTGGTGACTGATCCTCCGTGGAGGCCCAGAGAAGGCTACTGAAATCAAATTGAGAGAGGCAGTCTTATGTGATTGAGAAGCGTTCTGGAGGCCTGGGTTCTGATACTGTCTCTGACACTAGCAGTGTTCTACTAGGAGTCTCTTTTAGCCTTTCTGAACCTCAGTTTCTTCTTCTGTGAAATGGGAATAACAAATTCTCTTGAAGACCAAATGAGATAATGTATTTAAAGTGCTATTTAAACAATAATATATCATATTTATATATATATAATAAATATATATTATATATCATATCATGTATAATAAATATATATTATATAATACATCATATTTTATATAAGAAATATATTGTATTATATATAATATAGTAAATCAATTTGGTGTTAGTGGAGTTGCTGCCTTTGGAGTCAGGAAGATGTGGATTCAAATCCTGCTTCCCCATAATGGCTGTCTTAAGGCTAGTGCCTTAACATCTCAGCTCTGCAGGCACTAAGAAACTGCAGAGTTGATGCTGTCCAGCTTGGTTAGAAGGGGTTCTCATCTCTGAGAACTCCCATACCAAGGAAATGACAAGTCACAGAGAAAGTATTGATAAGGAATTCCCAGATTAAAAAAACAAAACTCCCTCTTAACGAAGGTCATCACCATCTATGTACCTAGAGGCTATGTCATAGATGGGACTAGGTCTTCCTCTCTACCCACTACTTACTCAGTGCCTTTATCTCACAAAGTATGCTTGTGGAGAATCTGAGGGCCCTAAACCTCTCGGCCTGGCTTTTTGACATGGTTATTTTTTTTTTACTTGTAAACACATTCACTTTATTAATTTAGTTTGTTTTTTAAAATTCTTTTTCAGTTAATGAGCATTTATTTCCTTTTCATCCCACCTCCTCCCCCTAAGAGTATTTTTCAATTATACAGCACTTATTAAATCTTTACTAAATGTCAGGCCCTGTGCTAAGCTCTGGGAATACAAAGAAAAGCAAAAAATCTGAAGAGCTTTCACTATGATGGAAGAAGAAATTGCAAGAAAATTCCTCACAATTCCTTTCTATTCTTGTCCGATTCTGCCTCCCATCTCGCTTTTTTGTAGCTGATCTAGAAGAAGGTTTCTTAGAAGGGGAAGAGTGTGGAGGCTCATTTATACTGAATTTCTCAGTCAGGCAACAAGTATTTGTTAAGGCATTTCCATTCTCTGGAATGCTTGCATTTCTGAGCCACTGATTCATCTCATCTGGATTTCAAAGATAAGGAGTAGATGTGTCACGTGAAGAACTGAGCTCTCTGGGGGAAGGAGACTTTGGGGCCTTTCTGGAATCCTGCTGGGAGTTCTACTGATAGTTCTAGGCTTGATTTGGAGTTAAGTCATCCTGCAATACTTGTTAGGTGACCATGGACCAAACTCCCCACCCAGAGTCAGGAACATCTGAGTCCAGATCTGGCCTTGAATATTTGCCAGCCCTGTGAACCTGGGCTAGACGCTCACCCTCTGTCTGCCTTAGTTTCTTCACCCATAAAACGGGATAATCGTGGCACCTCCTTCCCATGGTTGTTATGAGGATCAAAGGAGATAATAAGGCACTTTCCAAGCTTTAAAGTGATAGACACATGCTTCTTGTTGTTATTATTTGATTGCTCAGAACCCCTGCCCTGGCTGTTCCCCGAAGTGTGTCTGAGCCCTGCTTGGCTGTGAGGGATTTCTGCTGATCAGTCCTCGGGCAGTCTCCTCACTGGCCTTTGAGCTGTCAGTCCTCCTTTGGATGATGACACTTGCCTGCGTTTCCTCCTCTGGGCTTCAGGGCCCAGCCAGGGCCTTCACCCGTCCATCTCCAAAGCTCACAGAATTTGTGACCTGGGCCACCCAACTTAGCCCTGGCCTTTATACTGCCTTGGGTTTGCTATGGCCGGGTGTGCACTCGGGTCATCCCAAACACTGGAGGAACTGGACTTCTCCTTTGTCCTCTTATTCCCTCACCTCCTAGTGCCTAGACCGTGCTGAGCAAGCCCTCAGCACAATAACTGGCCATTTTCTTTATTTATTTTTTATAATTAATTAATTTATTTTTAATTTTCAACATTCACTTCCATAAGATTTTGAGTTTTAAATTTTCTCCCCCTCCCTCTTATTCACCCCCCACCCCACTCCCTGGCAGTGTACAATCTGATATAGCGGGCCATTTTCTCAATGCCGGTTCTGCCCAGTGTTTATTCCCTCTCTATTTTTAGTCTTTGTATACTGGAGTGAGATGGCAGAAGGGGCCTTTGAGGGCATCTCTTCCCACCTCCCCCTCCTGTCCTGCCTTTTATTAGAATGTCCCTGGCGGAGGAGCATTCATCTGAGCAAGGTGCCGTGGGACTGGAAAGAGCATGGGCTCTAGAGGCTGAGGGCATGGCTTCTCATCTGCCTGTGGGAACTGGGGCCAACTTGCTAACTCTCCCTGGACTCCAGCTTCCTCCTCTGGAAAGTGAGAGGCGTCTTCCAGATCTCCGTTTATGACCCTTTGATCGCCCAGCCTTTGCTTGAATGCTGCCAATGACAGAGAACTCACTGCCTTGCAAGGCGTGCCCATGCAGTCTGGGGCCAGTTCTGATGTGCTGCCTCATATTGGGGCGGGCTCTCTGAGCCTCGGCTTCCTCACCTGTAAAATGGGAGTATTAGTGCCCTATCTCACTTTGTATCTGTGAGCCCCTGCCATTGGAATGTCAGCTCCTTGAGGGCAGGGACCAACCCCCTTATGGCTCTGTAGTTCACAAGCCTGGCACACAGGTGATGTCTGATCAATGCTTGTCTATTTAATTGAATTGATCGGAAATATGCCCTCCTCTAACTTCCAGTTTTTGTTGCAGAGTAAGACCACCCTCTTCAGTATGACTGCCCTTCAGCCACTTGAAGATAGCTTGACTTGTCTTTCCCACTCCGCGCCCCCTCGCCCAGCCAACTTTCTGAATTCATTCAGCTGATCATCCTAGAAAAGTTCCTTGGGAACCTCCAGATGTGGCTGACCAGGGCTGAGGATGGTGGGCCCCTCACTCCTCTGGCTCCTGGCTGCACACAGCTGCTAAGAAACCCACCCTCCCCACATCTGGTCAGGTTTTCAGGCTTTCCCCTGAACCTCATCCTACGCTGAGCTCCACTGAACTCATAAACTCCCTGTCTCTGTAGTAACCTGAGTTCACAATGCGAGAATTCTCTTCTGCTGTCGTGGTGGGAATGACAGCCGTCTCCTTCATTTGAAAGTCATTGTCCTCAGAGAGGTGACTGAGGAGACAGGTATCTAACCTGGTTTTTCTTCCCAGCAGGGGGCTAAGTTGTCCCCTCACCAGAAAAGGTCATACTTTTTTTTTACTTATTTAAAAAAAAAAGGTTTATTGATACTCTTTAAAAAAATGACAGTTTCCCATTGCATCTCCTTCCCCCTCTCCCAATAGAAACTTGTTACACAAGGTAACAAGTTTGAGCACACAAAATAAGTCAACACATGGCTTGTGTCTGAACATGTTTGCTGTGTTCTGCCCCCCTCTTCCACCACCTGTCTGTAGAGCCCTGGCCGGTGAGTGTCAGCAGCACGCTGGTGCTGAAGTCAGAATTGGTCGCTAGCCAAGGATTTGTGAAGCTCCTGCTGTGCTCACTGCATTGATCAGAGCTGGGAA